CCCATGAGATTGATATCTGGTGGAAATGTCAAAGAGATCAAAATTATGAGGGTTGGGTTGTGAAGATGGTATCTGTGGAAGATGCGATGAAGCGTGCAGAGGCTTGTAAGGAGACTGCTATGCATAGATTTCTTCCTCAACGTGCTTTCCAGGATCAGGATGCTTATGATCAGGATGAACAGTTAGAGGAACCACCTCTACATGATGAGATTGATGATACTCGCTCGATGGATGGACATGACGGTGAAGATGATGGTGAAGAAGAGGATGAGGAAGATGATGATGAATCTTATGCTGAGGGACCTTTGAGAGGTCTTTTGACCGAGATTCCTAATATTCTCGACACGAAACAAATTGAAGCTCTTCACATGACTGTCAAAGCTTGTATCGTCGATTCAATGGGTTCAGGACTTACACCAGCTGGTGAAAATCTTCAAAAGACACGATGTAAAATGTTTTTGGCTTTGGATTGTGGAAAGAATTTACTTCGAGAAATGTTGGTTTTCATTGCTGTTTGGGAACAAACTGATCAACACTTCATTTTCCAAATTACTGCTCAAATCATTGAGTCTTTCCATCATAACGCTTTATTGCCATATGCTTGGAGCTCTCTTAGGATCATGAAGGATATTGTATCGCCAGCACAAACTGTCCTTTTACGTCTCATTAACTATATGTTTCGAGCTCGAAAGGATAGTCCTATCTACGATGATTTAAGAGATTACAACAGGGATGCAAAACTCATCCATTTCCTCTTTACATATTTCCGTACACGAGTCGTACCTGATTGTATTGCTCTCATTCATGCACAAGCTCAAATTCGAACTCAAAAGAGCGATCCAAATGATTTCCCAGTTGATTTATGGGATATGGAACGTGCTAAGGATGGACTTTCACAATACCTTGATTTCATATCTGTTATTGCAGAAATACCAGAAATGAGACCACTCCTTATTGAATGGGAATGCGTTTACGAACTTGTGGCTCTTCTTCGAGCTCTCGAACAAGGCGTGGCACGGAAGAATCTTTCTGAACAACCATTACCAAATCGTCGACCAGCACCTGTACCTCAACCAGGAGGTGGAATTCAAGCAATAGAACGACCATACGAAAGTCCCACTTTACAAAACTCCCCTCAATTCCAAGGTCCAGGACAAACTCTTCCACCTCTTCATGATACACCTCATAAATTCCCATGGTCGGGTATCAAGATTCAAATCCTTATTATTCTTACTTCATTGGTAGCACCTAATAATCCTAGGAGACAAGGACCTGGAAATCCAATTGTGCAAAAACAATTGTTGGATCAGAATGGGATTATGCCTTTGCTAAATTGTTGTGTTTATGATGGTCATAATGAGTATATTAAGGAGAGGGCGACGCTTTGTTTGAAATATGTTATGGAGGGTTGTGAGGAGGCGCAGAAATGGGTTAAGGATTTAGTGCCGGCTAATAAACAGAGGGGTGCGCAGGGGGCGAATGGAGGTGCTGGCGCAGGAGGGATGAATGGAAGTGGAAGTGTAAATGTGAATGTGAATGAAGGAGGCATACCAGATGTAAATAGAATGGCTAGAAGTCCTCGTGTAGGGTTCGGTGGTGTTGGAGGGATGCCTAGAGGTGGTGGGGTGGTTGGTGGTACAAATACGAATACAAATAAAGGTTTAGGTGGTGCAGCGACGATGGGGAATACTTTAGATGTTGACCCAGCGTTGCAATTGGAGAAGTTGAGGTTGCAGGAGAGAGTTAGGGTTGCGGAGTTGAAGGCTAGGGAGATGAGGGGGAGGGAGAGTGAGAAGGGGCAGGGGAAGTAGATGGAGTTGATGGGTGTACGGAGCTAGTTGTAGGCGGAAAGGGATCTTTGAAAGGTTCGGGGCTAGGGTGGGGATGGGGATGGGTGGATCAAAAGAATAGAATTGCATTGCATTGTATTATTTGGCGTATGAAAATGGGATATGGGATGGAATGGGATGGAATTGGGAATAGCAAATGGGATCTGGGATCTGGGATTCTTTGGCACGTGTAAAGAGGAAAGCATGTATAAGTAACGAGAGAAGGGAGAAGGGAGTCATGATACCCTTTTAAGCGTTGGGTTTGAGCTGGGTTAGCTAGTAAATGGATGAATGAAGGGACGGTGTATAGTAGTATGGTATAGCATAGAATAGCATAAACAGTATAGAATAGCATGAATAGCATGAATCGATCATCCGAGGAATAGATAGATGAGACCAAAATGATAATAGTATATATAACATGAGGTTATATTATTTCTTGTAAGAGAAGAGTATTGTTTATTTATTTATTTATTTATTTGATTTATTAAATAACTTTGCTGCTATATTAAGAGTCTCGTTGGTGAATTAATCAAAAGTGAAATAAAAATAGAAATTGAAAATAAAAATAAAAATAAAGGGTTTTGTTTTAATAGCTGAATGGATATTTATGAATGTGAATGTGAATGTGAATACAAATATGAATGTGAATGTGAAAATATACTTGGTGTATTTGGTATGGTTACTGGGTATTTCTTGGTGCTTGAGTGATTGTATAGTAGTGGAGTGTTTTGGGGTGGTGAGGGGGGAGAAGAGAGGATGGAAGAGAGGATGGAAGAGGTTGAAAAGTTTGAAGAGTTTGAAGAGTTTGAAGAGTTTGAATGTTCTGAAGATTTTAATAGAAGGGATATAAAAAATAACTCTTTGAAGCTAGTTAGCTTTACTTTACTCTGCTAGTTTACTTAGTTACTTGAGATGTTTGGGAGTGTGTGGGAGTAGAACTATAAAATAGAATTGGATTGGGTTGGGAGCTGGTGGCTGGGGGCTGGATGAGGTTTATGTTTTATATATTATGTATTGCTAGTAGTTCTGTAAATGTGGATTCGGGTGAGGTGAGGCGATGGGTAGAAGTGAGTGTGGATTTAGATGTCTGCTATTGATAGATGCTATGGTGGAAAGATGCGGGAAGACAACCTGAAAATACTTTGTTACTTAGGTGTCAATAATTTCAGATAAATCTTCTTGGAGAGGATTTGAGTTGCTGTTTCGCATTCGGTGTCAAATCGGGTTGATATTACTATTGTGACCTGGTCGATGGTTAGATTTAAGGTCAAAGTTGGTCATTTGCGTCAAGGTATCATGCATCTAGATCTTGGTCTGGGTCTAGGTCTAGGTCTAGGTCAATGTTGTAAAGTTGTATGTAAAAGAGAATGATTCATACATTAATTGGATTCATCCCCCTCTCTCATATATTCAAGTTCAACATCTATCACATTATAGACTTTCTACCATACTTTCATATTCATATTCATATCCATATATTCATATACACCCACAATCATCAATCCTAAAAATGTCAGACAAAAACTACTCTTCATCCAACCGCTCCCGTCACTCACGCGATACCAAACCCCGCGATCATCGCGCCGCCAGTAGTCCAAACCGCAGTCAAGAACTCTATCGCGGATACCTCCCCGTCCAACCGAAAGAGATGAAACCGGTTAATCCTAGATCTCTCCGTCAGGTAAATGGATCGCCTCCGCCGAATTTTCGACGTAAAGAGACTTCGTACGAGGAGTATCCTCCTAAGTTGCCGGCGCTTGGGAAGAGTAGTCGGGCGAGGAGGAGAGGGAGGATGGGGCGAGGGAAAGGGATAGGGAGGAGGGGAGAAGAGAGAGGGGAGGGGAGCAGGCGGGTAGGTCGTCTGCTGGGAAGAGTTCTAGACGAGTTGCGGGGACGCAGAGGGATGAGAGGGATGAGAGAAGGTGAGTGAGTAGTAATGAAAATGTGGTTCATGATCAGGGAGGTAGGCTTTCGCGATCGAAAGACTTGCGGTGCTGTTTATTTGATATTGGGACTATTATGTTGAGTATTGGAGATAAAGAGATTATTCTCTGGAATGGCGTAATGGTGTGTGTATAGACATAGACTAAACCAAACTTGCTTCAAACTATGTCCGTCTCCCATGTTGACTGCCCTCCCTTGGTTGATTTCATATCTTTTTGTTGATTCCAACTATTACATCTATGTGCTTAGAGATATCGGCCGAGGAATCGGTCATATCGAGTTTGGATGGAACTCATGTTGGTAGACCACGGTTTGATGGTTTCTCTTCCTCGTTTGGAGTTGGTGATTGGTTGGGTTAATCAATGAATTATATTAGTTGGCCTATTAGTTGTGATATTCAGAAATATTTTAAGAGAAAGATGTTTCTTTTTCTCTAGTTTTGTATATAGACCTGTGATTTGTAAAGATTTCTCTTCTTACTCTGCTTGTATTTATACTATTGATTTGATAGACTTCGAGTCGATTCTAGAATTGATTTATCTACTCGAATATAGTAGTACTTTAAAGAACTTTTAGCTGGAGATATAGTTAGAAGAGTTCATCTATCAACTGAACGCATCGGCCTTTGTTATCTCTATTATATGCTTCAGAGTTTGTAGAGCGGGATTATTCCTTAGGATTAGTTTTCACTTCCTCCATTCAACTCAAAAGATTGAGTTTATCTCAATCATTTAAACTATGTATTTAGCCAGGCCCATAAGCCAGCTTACCCTTATTATGTTATCTGTTAGGGGTTCGTAAGAGCCTCTAGCCGTCTTAGATAGTCTTAGACTCAGTGTAGACGTTAATTTAATCAATCAATCAATCAATGAACGCATCGGCCGACTGATTGCCTAAGCCTAATTAGGCGATACATTAGTAGAATTCTATTATTAGAGTACTTTTTCGACTTGAATATAGATTGTTAAGCCCTGAATATCTTGAGACGTTGACCTAATTACGAGTAGATTAGAACGTTTAATTGACCGAGGCGTTCAACTGACAGATGAAGCCTTCTAGTTATAAATTAGACTATTAATTAATAATATATAAAAAGCTAGAGATAAGAAACAATCTTAGAGAAAACAAAATATATATATTAAACAACCAAAACTCAAAAAAACATATAAATCTCCTCTCACACTCTCCCTTCCCCCCCCCAAAAAAAACCCCAAAAAAAGTAAATTCCGGTACGGGGAATTGAACCCCGGTCTCCCGCGACCTGATTTAAGCTATTAAGCTCGAATGAGAGGCGGAAATGCTAGCCACTACACCATGCCGGATATCTGACTGATTTTAATGAAAGGATGTAAGTAAGTGAGAATACAAAGGTGTGTTGTGGCGGGGTATTGAAGAAAATTTTGTAGAGATTTAACCTTAAGCGAGAGGCGTGGTTTGTTTCGATGTGGGGGTGGTTGGGTGGGGGATGGGTTGTGGAAACTAGGATAGCTAGTTAGATGCACTGACTGCTGTTTATCTATAATGTTGGAGTTGTTACGATGGTAAAAGCATGTATACTTAGACCCAAGACCTATGTACATGTGTTGTGCGAGCACTTTTGACCTTGCAAATGGTCACTGTCTTTGTCATCACGCTGCTGGCATATCCCAAGATATATTCTCCCCGTCGTCTCGCTTCTACTTGCTCCCCCTCCACAAAAAGATCTCGATTCAGGAGTTTCTAACGAATCCCATCTTTTTGAATTCCAATTATAATTATTTTATTCTAACTATTCTTTCCCGGCTTTTTCTTCCCATCCCTCCAGATAGTTCGATAAGATTATAATTTCGATTCTTTACTCGATATGCATTGTAATCATTGGATTGGGTTCATAGTATTCACACCCTTCGATCTGCTGTGACGAGAATTAGTATTAGAGGGTGCTCTGTTATTTTAAGTACACTCTGGTAAATTTCCTCTTGGAAAGAATACCTTAATACCGAATAATATTACAACTATAATACTCCATATACAAATCCCAGTACACAACTCACAAGTTAAAACCGTAAGTACAGCGAACATCCGAATCACATAATCAAACCATAACAATACATTCTTCCCCAAGAAACAAAAAACAAGAAAAAAGTAAGAAGTACTATAGACAGTACTATAGACATTACTATAAACAGTACCATCATACCATCAAACCCCAAAAACTACAATATCCCATCATCTTCCACCACAATTACGGCCACAATTACGGCTACAATAATTAAAAAACATAAACACTAGATAATTAACAAGCGAAAAAGTAATATAAGATTATCATACCGTAACATACCATATGGTTTCATTAATTAGTATAAGTAGTATATATAAATATATAAATAAATAAACAAATAAATATATAAATAGTATCTCCACTCCTTAGTCCTTCGAATCTTAACATCATCTTCATCAACATCGCCTTCGCAAGAAATCTCAAATCAACCACTCAAATATTCTTATTCTGTATATCAACAATCTCCATCCACTCTCAATCTCCATCATTACACCCACTATTCCTCGATCCGCAGCCCCTCTACTCACCGCAAAAATGACGCCCCGAGAATCCTCTACACCCCTCGCACAAAGCAGCCGACGTCTCCGCAACATCAAACCCATACCAGCATCACTAAATCTCTTTCCAAATCTATTCCCCAAACCCGTCCCCGTCCCCGTCCCCGTCCTCATCTCCAGCCCCAAAACCAACCCCAACTCCAGTCTTAAACCTAAGCCTAAGCCCAATCCCAAAACCAACCCCAACTCCAGCCTTAAATCTAAGACCAACCTCAAACCTAAGCCCAAACCCAGAGCTCAGGTAAACACCACCCTATCACAAACCACAAAAAATACAAACGGAACCTCAAACCAAAATCACACTTCCTCCAACCACACTTCCCACACCCCATCTTCCCCCAAAATAAACAGTGCAACCTCATCACCACTCAATCCAGCACCCAGTTCACCCATTCGTTCAGAAATACACGATTTACATGATTTATCTGACTCATCAAACTTATCAGATACGATAATAGTACAATACCCATCTCAACCCCAACCCCAACCACAACTCAAGCGAAGGATTTTGCGATCTGGGAATGAAAGTGGAGATCGAGATCGAGATCGTAGTACGCGTACTCATACTCATAGAAATGGAGAAAGGAATGAAAATGAAAGAGGAGATCGCAAAACTGCCGCAACAGAATACCCAAGGATGAGCATCCTATCCAATTCCAAACGAAAACTCACTCTGAATGCTAATACATTCACCTCTGCATCTAAGAAACAAAAAACACATCCAAACTCCCGTTCAAACTCCAAGTCCAATACCCATGTCCGCCAACTGAAAAACTTCAAATCCAATACCCATAATCGCCAACCAAGCAAATCCAAATCTAAGTCCAAATCCAGCAACAAAACCAAAACCCCAATTTACAAACCACCCCCACCCATCCCCTCAATAATGGATATTGAGAACCTACCGACCATAGCTCAAAAAAGTTGGGTTCATGCTGCTAATTTGGAAGGTTTGAGGGGGACGAATAGTAAGGGGGTTGTGGATAGTATGGGGAGGTTGTTTGGGGGTGGGTTGGGATAAGGGGAGAGTGGATAGATAGTATGAGGGTTTTGGGGAGGTTTGTGAAGTGTTTTGTGTTTAATGGTTGGAAGAGGAGGAGAAGGGTGAAAGTAGAGGAGAGGAGATTGGGAACGGGAACGGGAATGGCAATGGGAAGAATGTGGGAAGAGAACGAAAATTTAAAGAGCTGATGGGTTGTAAAGAGTTGTGAGGAATGAGGAGGATGGATTGGGATTGAGATGTGGATGCAAATGGGGAAGATGAATGAGGAAGCCCAAAAAAAACAGATGGATGATTAATAGGCAGGAAAACTGTATCACAATGCAGCGGGTGTGTCCGTCATTTTTTTTTATCAGAGATATTCAGCGGTTATATTGAAGCCTATACGAAAACCAAAATTCAATGGACTTCTCTGGGTTGGCTTCTGATATGAATATTCATTTGGGAGGGAAGGCTTAAGCAAAAATTGTCGAGGGCAGGAGTTGACTGGATAAGTTTATCAATCTCATGTGAATTTAATGTATACGCGATACTATGATGCAGTATCCATCTCGATCAATAAAAAGCTCATAAGAAAAATTAAGATTTTAATAAATTGTAATAAGTGATTGCGATACAATCTTCTGAACCTAATGCACTCCATATAGTGACAATACTTAAAATCTGTAAGTTTCTTGAATATTCAAGAAAGTTCTCTTGCAGGATAAATCTCATGGTCTCGCTTGAATGAACATTTCAGACAATGTCTTTATCACAGGAACAAAGACCTCCATTCCATGACAAAGAAAACTTCTCGTTAGAACACACCAAAACACAAAATCATCACGTAACAATGCCAAAATATTTAGATATAGTTCCTTCCAGGTTCCTCTATTTTTCAAAAAATCGGGACACCATCCACTAATACCCAGGTAACTTTTACACATACCACAAGATGTCAGAATACTACATACCAGCTTCAAGCGACTTGGAATCTCTAATCGAGGAACCAATCGTTTGTTTCAACACTGATTGTAATTATCCCTTTGGTTCAGCATGTCAAAGTTGTACAATAGAATTTGAAGCTCGAGCTGCTGCGAAAGAGAGAGCAAGACAAGATGCTGAGGATGGAGTCAACAAGGCCGCATCACAGAAACTCATGGATATGAAATATCAAGCAGGTCGCAGTGAAGACATTTCCGAAAGAGTTGCCGATATTGTGGAAGATCTTAAAGCTATCTTTGTATTTACTCAACCTAAGCCACAGGAACCAAGTGAGCTGACCTGGAAGAATTTACAAATTCGTGAATCTACATCTGCACCACTGAGCTCTGAGAATACAAGCTCCGGTAACAATCCTACTGACAACAAGAGGCTTAATTCCTGGCTCAGTAAACTTGTTAAAGGGACAGTTGATGGATTTCTACTTGACTCTCCTTTTACTGGAGGTGCAGATGAAGAAGATCCAAAGGAGGTTGATTGTCCATACTGTTCTCTATCAATGGGAGAAGGAGCATATAAAGAATTGCACATGATGAAGTGCAAGTACGCTCACGAGGAAGCCAAGAAATGGGAAAGGGCGAGAGAAGTGTGGTCAAAGAGGAGGAATTGTTAGACGGAAGGAAATAATGGAAGCTGCATATAGCTGGACTAAACTGTCAGATTCAAATCATTCAAAGTATCCCAAATCTGAGGCGAAGGAAGTGATGGAAGCTGCATCTAGCTGGACTAAACTGTTAGAATCAAATCATCCCAAATCCAACCATAAATTGAATTATTTTTTTATTAAATACATTTTTCCGAATGCATATGTGACACATGGAACTGAAGTGTGAGAGAGTGAGACCCTCTGAAGTAAACATTAGCTTTAATGCCGTGATAGTCCTCGTGAGCAATTAAGGCGACCGACCACTCTAGATTTAGTAGAATGCGGCTTTTTGTTGTTTTCCCCACCAGTAGAACTATTTTCAGATTGGTGAAAAAACCCGCGACGGTTAACCAATCGTAAGGTATTTCTAAAAAAGTGCTAAGGGTATTTCACTAACACAAGGCTACAGTATGCCAAGTGGTCAGCCTGAGACAATGCCGTTCAACACTAGCTGACAACCAATCTCTCAAACTCATATAGTCAGGCACGACAAGCTGATATGGCCGTTTATCTTTTTTTCCGTGCAAATAAGGCGAGAGAGAGGAGATAAATTAGAATAAGGGTCTCTTGGATTAATGTTTCGAAGCTCTTAGTAGAGTCTGCCTCCCAAATTCAAAGTGATTGGAATTGAATTTTGATGGATGTTGTGATTGAAATTGAGACCAACAGGAATATTGTTGGTGGCTCAATTCATTCGGAAACTCTAAAATTTCTGCACCTTGATGAAATGAAATTGTACCACTTTGGAAGGTTACGTACGACCTTGATGGTTCAAGATGGTGTGATAATAACTAATATTAGAAAGTAGCGACTGTACGTAGGACTTCAACGGTCGCATACCTTTTGTGGGTCAGAAGACTCGGTCATGTGATCAAATCTGAATGGTCCTCAGTTGCGGCCATAAAACTTTAAGCTAAGTTTCTGGAGCTAGGATCAAATTGACCAAAACTGCTATCTCTTGGCATCCTTACCTTGACGTGATATAATACATATCTACCATCGGAGATGTCTATCACAGCCAGGTTATTTGACATGTGATCAAGGATTAAGGGTATCTTAAGGGCGGCCAAACAATGAACAATGCACATTCATTATCT